GCAGAGCTCGCTCGTCGTTCGTCGGATAACATTTCTCGCCTCGATCTCCTCGTAAAATTCACTTTGCACGCCTAATCACAACCCTCAGCGTTACTCCAATTTTTTTTTCCCCGCTCATTTCCGTCCCCCAAAAATTAAAACCTCATCCAGCGGTCCCGAAGCAAAGTTGAGCTCCAACTTGCTTTCCTGCGCATCCATCAACTTTGCTGCCGAAAATTTTTGTCACTCGATTAGCCGCACCTAAACAATCAAGCGCGAAAAGTTCCCAATCCCGGTACAGCACCGCAACCCCCATAGCAACTTTTATCCCTAAATACACCGACTCGCTGGCCCTCGACGCCAATCCAATTTCCCGAAGCTTTAAAATGCACACTCGCACGACTTGCAGTCCCGAAACATAATAACCAAAATTAAAAGCCCGTCCCTCCGCTGCTCGAGTCGATGAATAACCAACAAGCGCACAGTGTCATAACACACACCGGCACCGCCGAGCACCGAATTACGCTCCCTGTGATATTTAAGGATGCGGTCGATACGCGCAAGTACCTGCATGACGAGATCAAAAGACTCCCGGCGCCCGCCCTTTTAATAATTGACCGGGAAGTTTGTATTTTTAATCACGCGCGGAGTTTTGCGCTTCCAAACAGCTCCTCTCGCAGCTCGCGTAATGCACGGGCATACGTGCTTTTGAAATTGCTGATCGATCCCGAGGGCTCAAACGCTCCATGTCTGTGATTGTTCGTATTTTGAGTGCGACGCTTCGAGGACTATCTTGCCGCATCGGAGAGGAGTTTCCGGCTTTTGAAATTGAAATTTTTTTGTCACCACTTGCCTCGGCGTTCTTTGTTGTATTTTTGTCCTTCCGCATCGATCGCGAGGATCAAAATAGATGCCATTGGAAAGGAAGAAATATCGAGCATTTAATTTAAGAGGAGTAAGAAATAAACTGCTCTCTGGGATCTATTTTTCGGGGGTTGTTACAAATGTCAGAATGTCTCGGGTACCTATATGTATGTGGGAAATCACGCAGCACTTGAATCGTCAAAAATAAAGCACATTTCACACGCGTACGAGTGGTGCTTTTGCAATTTGCTGGCTCGTTAGATACAAGGCAAAGCAACTCTGCCATTACGCAAGATGGGCCCCCCATGCTAATGAAGCGTGAAACAAAAATGCCTCTTGCTCGCGTAATTGCATTACCTCCGAGTTCACCCCACGCATGCAGGTGGTGTGCAAGAAAAAAGAGAAGTAGGGGGGAGTTTTATGCCGCAGGAAGAATTTGATTTCGACGTTGTTGTTGGGGTGACAAGAGAGAGAAAGAGAGGATGTGCAGAGATATGTATAGACGCGGGTATGAATTCATTTTTAGTGTATCACCATAGTATATTATACATACGTGTCTGTGGGTATAATATACATACCGTCGTTATGGCCTCCCACGTTATTAAATTCCGAAAGGGTCGTATCTGCGCTGAGGGATGTGTTCCACTCTGTCTCTCTCTCTGCATTAATGAAATTTGCTATTACTTGCCATACATGAATCTACATGTGTAGGGCCTATACACACTTACTGGAATTCAATTAGTTCATTTCTATTCCTGACAACTGTGTATGGGGAAAAAAAAAAAAAATCATTTCAAACTCTATAAGAGTTGTGTAAATTAAATTGGTGTATTGTATGTACGCTTACTAATTTCCCGTTTAATTTCCTCGGTCTGGCGATGGTACGAAAAAGCGTGTAAGCGTAACAGAGAAATATGATTGCACGCCCACGCGGTCGTTAATGGAGCTCTCGGTCCGCTCGCCGCGCTGAATTCCCCGGATATCTGATGGGACTTGCCATCCCGCCCCAGTCGTGTATAAGAACGTGCAGCGTCAAGAGGGCAGGTGGAGAGAGAGGGAAATCCTCTTAGAGGTACGCCGAGACCGGATACAGAAAGGATGCCGGGGAAGAGAAAGATCCCCGTCTTGCGAGTCTCTCGAGTCGCTCGCACAATTTCGCAGTTGCGCTGCGTCCGGCTTCATTTGCATTCTCTCGCGTGCGTGTGCTGTACTGTACTGTTTATTCACCTTGCTCTTCCTTCGTTTTTTTGTTTGTTTTTTTTCGGATAGAGCTCGAGGAGATGGGGAACGAGGAGGGCCAACGGGTCTTAATCGTCTTCGCTTTGCTTCTTCATGATAGGGAAGCAATGTGTAAGGGTTCGGCTCTCCGTGCTTTGTTTCGTGGGTCTTGGATCTGAGAGTATGTAGTAATGCCCACTATAGTGTGTTTTTGTAATTAGTAGCGATAGGTGTTTCGATAAAGAGTCACGTAAATTAAACAAAAACGTTTTCAACTTGAAAACAAACATTTTCTTTTCCCACGTGTTTATCGAAGAAATTGTGAACGTAAAGCCAACGAGACGCAGTACAACATTTTTTTTTCTTTTTATTTCGATTACAATTTTTGAGCCAATTAAAAATTTTTTCATTTAAAAAGTATAAAAGTACAAGAAAAGTTACTTAAGAGAATGTTTATCATGAATGAGTCGAAAAAAATCTCCGGAAATACTTCACGTCCCATGATGGAGTAGTCGAGCTTTTATTTTTTTACAAACCAAGTGGTATTTATTTTTTTCAATCATCGAAATTTTGTATGAATAAATTGAACTATTCGTGCCCAAAATTATCCAATCCATTTTTCTGTGACTGTGAATGGGAAATATTTTTTTAATTGGGGATAATCCTAGTCGAATTCACTTTTCACTTAACCGCATTTGTATTAGTTACAAATTAAATTCAAAACCGTGCACTAAATTTTTTTTTTCCGAAAACTTCCGTTTTAAAAATGACAAACCGCAACAAAGTGGAAAAGTATCATTTTACAAGCTGCTTATTGTTCATTTTATGGTCAGTGAGGAATTTAATATATCTTGGCTCTGTATACCTGTTACGTGATTCTACGCTACAGTGACTGGGAGCAACATGTTGCGTGGAATTGAAACTTCTTTTCTTCAAACGCTGCGTGTGACGTTTTTTCTACACCGAGAATACACCTACTTTTTCAATAGAACAATCAAAATTGCAATGAATAAAACAACGTAACAAACAATTAAAAATTTGATTTGAGACGGTGTTTTTTGGGCTATTGGGAGAAATAAAAGACAAATCTCACTGTTTTAAAAATATAATCTTTTATGTGCTCAAATACGATGAAAAAATGAAATTATTTCACAACGTAGCTTTGTCCAGTTTGGGACGTTCATTTTTTGATGTAATTACTCATCACTTCAAAATTATATGTTTCTGAATGTATTAAATTTTATTTTACCCCATCCTAGTTATTGCTTATATTAAATTTATACTTGTGACATTTAGCTAGTGTTTTTGTACCATTTTCAGATTTATATATGTATGTATACAAAAATCACTGCGCATTGTCCCTTTCTAAGTATTTCAGTATCGGTGAACGGCCAAGTTTTAATGAACAAATACACATGTGATGTCAATGAGCGCGACCGCAACAAAACTTCCATCACTCGAAATTAAAACTCAACGTAAGTTGCAAACTCGATGTAGTACGTATTTTCCACAAAAACAAAGTGCACTCCGCAACTCGTCCAACCTCTCTTTGCAAACCCATTCATTTGCGACCAAACAAACCTCCAAACAATTTTTTCTTTTTTTCATCCCACCCGTAAACTAAATATCAAATTTCGATTCGCCACTTGTACTTACTTAATTGGAATAGTTTGAGGCAAGAGGAGGCAAGGGAGGATGCAGGCACGCGATGTAATCTGACCGCAATGCTGATGACTAAAACCACACTAAATCGCTGGAGTGGGAGAGAGGAAGCGCCAGCGCAGGCCAGCAAATGTATTTCCAAGATATTAATACGCCACATATTTCGTCTGTAATTACGCGGAGCTCCCGAACGACTAACCCATTGACCCTTGGCTCAAATTACGCCGCGTGGGTTGGTGAGCCTGCAACATTTAGATTTAGATATGTACCTATCCAGGATAGTGTGCATTTCCCTCGTTAATATCAATGCTGATTGTTTCGTGAAAAATTCTTTTCTGTAATATCTGTACATGACATGATTGTTGATTACGTGTAAATACATTACAAGTTTGCAACTTTTAAAAGAAGTCCATTAAAATTTTTACCAGAATTTCAGTCAGAAATAGTTCTCATATGGCTGCATTTTGATAGAAAAAAAAAAAAAAAAAAAAAAAAAAAAAAAAAAAAAAAAAAAAAAAAAAAAAAAAA